AGCTGCCACTATTTCTGTGATAGGCTTCCTTCCTGGGCGGGTAACGGGACATTAAGCAGGTTCTTGGCTGGAGAAATCTTTTGCTTGAGTGATATATGTAAAGCCCTTGTTTGCCAGCTGTCCGGAGTCAGGTGGAGGGACCAGCAGCTACCATGCTGCCCGGACAGCTGGAAGCCAGCAGGGTCTCTGAGGCCAGGCGCTTGATCCTCCCTGAGAAAGTCATCAGGGAGGATGCAGTCAGAGGGCAGGCCGCCCTCACGGGCAGCCGCAACGGGGCAGACGGCGGCGGGTCCTCCTCGCTGAAAAACCTGCCCCAAACTGTGCGTTTAGGTTAACGCGTCCAGCCAGGCTTCCCCCTAAGAGTGTTCTGGAGTCTTCGATGGAGGCCTGCAAGTGTGTCTTCCATATTTCTCATCATCACCCAGCAACTTCGAAACTAAAGCACAGGCTTACAGAAGTAAGGTTGCTCTTCACATTTTCTTTTGAACAGTGGTATTTCCCCCAATGCCTCCACGGTGTGTCTGTCCTGCAGAACAATTCCATCTCTGGGAAGAGGACAGGGGTCAGGCCTCGCCCCCCGACAGGCTCCTGGCCTGCGTGCGGGGCACCGAGCAGATCCTGAGGCCTTGCTCTGCTCACCCCGGGGAGCTTAGTCCCGGGCCGCCCTCTCCTTGCCGGTGGCTGGCCCGCCAAAGTCAGAGTGCCCTTGCTTCAGACACCTTAGACCTCTGTGATGTTACAGGCTTCTTCCCTCCAGACTGTCCGCGATAGACAGGAATTTGGGCCTGGCGGCCTCACTGCAGCTCAGTTCAGACGCAGGGGGAGCATTTCTCCTCACTTGGCCAAAGGTTCCCTTCATCACCAAGGCGGTAAACCAGCTGTCCTCCCCTCTGTGGACTGGGCCGGGATGGGCACAGTGTCCAAAAGAGTTCCTCTCTCCCGTCGGGCCGGCCAGAGCTTTACCTCTTCTGTCAGGCTCCATCCATGCCGTCTTGAGGGGTTTGAGTGAGAAGCTGCCCATCGCCGTGGAGATCAGACAGGGCTGTGTGCCTTTCCAGCAGTAACTCCGAGGTCAAGGGAAAGCACTCCTGTAGATTCTGAGCAGGGGCGAGTTGCTAAGATCCATTCGCCCCTGCTTCCTGATCTTGCCTAGATGAACGGATTTCGGGTTTAAGGTGAGAAACTGGAGATAAAGTGACTTGGAGCGGGACCGAGTGCTTCCCGGCTTCCCTCCAACAAGGCGTGGGCGAAGCTGAGGGTCAGTTTCAGATCGTCACCCTTCATCTGTGTCCTCCCAAGGCCAGGTGTGAAAACGCAGCCATGTTTGCTTAAAGGCGTGTCCTGTGTGCAGCATTTTGGGGGACAGCTTAAGGATGTTTGTGTTCACAGAACTGAAAATGTGTAGCTTCAGTGTTGCAATATTGTAACCTTAAAATTTGTCTTAATAAATGAATGCCAAACTGTGCTGGAACTACGTGCATCCCAGCAAATGCAGGGAAATGTAAGTGCTCTTTGCTGTACAAGAGGTAAAACCCTTCAGGGTTACCTAAGCTCACGCCCGTATTGCAAGAAATCCGTGACAGCCTCCTGCCTCTCCGTAGGAGCCAGCCCAAAGGGACAGACACCACCCCTTACTGGTGCAGAGAGTCCCCAGATCCACCGCAGCCAAGTGGCAGCCTTTGTCCTGAGCCTCCCCACCCACATGACTGGATCCTGCTTTCTCTGCCTGCTGGGCCCGGTGGGCTGGCGCTGATGCCAGAGGGGCACCACCATCACACCACCCATCAGAGAGAGCAAAGAAAACTCCTCTTCAAAAATGCCACTAGACTCTGTCCTTGGCAGCCACCCCGGCCCTTGGGGGACTGGGCGTGCAGCTGTCTGGCCTCACTGGGAGAGCTGGCCTCGGAGCCGGGGGGACCCCTCTGTGGCCCGGAGCTGCAACCCTTGGGGAGGGCAGTGAACAGCCCCCCTGGGAGGTGCCCCTGGCCTTTGGGCAGTGATGCTCCAAGGAACCCTGGCCCTGAGAGACCACTCTCTCCCCCAGGCCAGCCCTGCCCAAAGCGTGACACCCGAGGTGCGGGGGCGGGGCAGGCTCAGGATTCCGATGAGTTAGGAATTAAGTAGATGGACACGGAGGGGCTGTTAAAACCCTGGCTTCCAAACCAACAGAAAGCTAATTGTGCTCCTGTGAAACTGCTGGAAAGGATGAGTGACTGTGACTTTCTTCGCGGCCCCGTGTTTTGCTGGATTAATGTAAACTGCTTTGTTTGCAGGGTTTAATAGCCCCAAACCAGGTCAGTTCTCCAGGTGGGACTATAGTGTAGCGAGCCCGCTCCCGCTCGGAGGTTCTCACCCCGCACCGGGTCTTGAGGGAGCGACGATGGAGCCCAGGGCCGCACGTGAGCCGCGTGGGCGTCAGGCCCCGGCCGCAGGCAGGCATCGCCCGCCTGGAGAGCAGCGCGGAAGAGGAACGCGGGGCTTGGCGCCACTCACCCAAAGAAGCTGTTTCCATTTTTAAATCGTTCTCTTGGGGCTGCAGTAGAAAATAAGAAATGAGATTTTCTTGCTTTTTACTCTAAAACTTAATGTAATAAAAATGTTATATACATTTATGTAATATATACATATATACATAGTGTGAAATAAAATGTTTCTTGGACAAGAAATCCCCGTAAATCCAACTGTTAAAAATAGCACTTCACTCTGTTTTTGTTGATTTTCTTTTTAACACCTTAGGTGTCAGAAGACAACCTGGAATGCGCTCATCAAGCAAGTTGTTACTTTCTGGCTTAAATATGTAATTCAGGAAGACGGATGCTGCGCGCATAGGTTTTAAAAAATTGTTTGCACTTGAAATAGTTTAATGCTGTTAAAAAATAACTTTGAGGGCTTCCCTGGTGGCTCAGTGGTTGAAAGTCCGCCTGCCGATGCAGGGGACACAGGTTCGTGCCCCGGTCTGGGAGGATCCCACATGCCGCAGAGCGGCTGGGCCCATGAGCCATGGCCGCTGAGCCTACGCGTCCGGAGCCTGTGCTCCGCAACGGGAGAGGCCACAGCAGTGAGAGGCCCGCGTACTGCAAAAAAAATAAAAATAAAAAAAAATAATAACTTTGAGTATGGGTGTAGTGGGCCTCCAAGGTGTGGCGTGAAGATGACCTTTTTAATCTGTTAACATTTAACACTCTTGTTCCAATGCAGTCGGCTCTGGATTATATGTATAAATAATGTCATTCTGCAATTGGGGAAATGGTCGCTTCAGTAGTACTTTTCATCTTCTAAGAGTGATATTTCTAATTCACAAAAAAATTGATATTAAAACTTTCTTGAATATACCATTTGTTTATCTTCTGTTAAATTGGCTCAACTTTTACTGTATTGTTTTTGTTGAATTAAATGTTTACACCATGTCCCTTGCAGCCCTGATGTGAGGCAGGCTCTTCAAGACCGTGGCTCGTCCGGAGAGCCCTGCGGTTCTCTGGCCACTTCTTGCTGTCTCCCCATCTTCGGCCTTTGTGAGCAGCTGCCCATGCGTGTGGACTGCGGTCTCAGGGAACAGTTTTCTCCTTACAGCTTCAAGTCCACGAGTCCACCTTCTGTTGTTGGAAGATCACACACGACTCTGTACGGTGAGTGTGAAACTACTTTGTTAAGGATGCAGAGAAAAAAAGGCTGATGACAATTACATGGGATTTTTATTTGGCTGAAGCCAGCTGGTGAGCAGCTTGGTCATGCCCACGCCTACTTGTAGGCGCTACAGGGGACTAGAATCATGACAGTGTAGCTGCCAAGTACAGGAACTTTTCTCAATTGAAAAAAATCATACGCAGTTGAACCCTTTGAAGGCCTTTTTATGTGGTCAGACTCTAAACCACGAAGTGCCTAAAACACATTTCTCTAAGTGATCCCAATAAACTGGGGCGCGTCTAAGTGATTTTAGGCTAGAAAAGACGTGTCCACGCTCCATTTCCATCATTTCTGTGAACGTAGCAACAGGATAATGTTACTGTTGCAGAAAAATTCTCATCAGCCTGGGGCGTGGCTTCCTTCTCAGAGGAGAGGAGGGTCAGGGAGCCAGTTCTTCACCAGCCGCCGGGCCAGGAGGGCTGCGCCACGGGGAGCCCCCGTCACGGGGCAGAGGAGCCTTCGCGAAAGGTGGAAAGCACCGCACACCAGGACACCCTCTCGCTGTAAGTGAAAGAAGCAGGATTTATATGTTGGACACATTCAGAATGCCCTTCCTATGAAAACATCAGCACGTTTTAGATAGTTGGCTATTTGTCGTCCTAGTCAAAGCACTGGTCTCTAAGTGCTGTCCATCACACTGAACGCCTACGAGGAAGCCACGCGTATTTCTGGAGATCAGAAAAGGCCGCCTTGGAACTCGAGTCCAGAGTCCTGAGCCTTGCGGTTCTTCTGAGTCGACTCCTTTTCCTGTGAACTTCCTGCTTGTTTGTAGGAAGTGACGGGTGGGTACCTGGTGGCCCCAGGACAACAGCAGTGTGAAAAGTCCAAGGACCCAGAGCGCGGCCAGCTCTCAGCGCCCCGAGGCTGACGTCGCTCCGGCCCTATTAGCTCCGCCCACCGCCCTCCGTGCTACTCTGCGGTGCAGTTTGCGAGATGCATCCGTGCTGGGAACGCATCTTTTTCTTTTTTCGGCTGGTCCCTGGCCAAGTGGTCCAAGATGGCTTCCAAAATCGGCCGGCCTCCTACCCGACCCCGCCCGCCCCCCCAGCACGCGCCCCGCGGCCGCAGGCCCAGGGCAGAGGGTCCCCAGGCCGGCCCCCACCCTTCCTCTTGGAAGCCACGGAGGGTCGGCTTGGCGCACCCGGTACGCTTCGTCGGCTCTTACTGCTCGCCTGGAGCGCCCTCATCCCTCGGCAGCGTCGCCCCTGCTCTGTCTTCTCGGGAGCAGGTTTACATTGACAGCCGGCAGGGCCGGGCTCCTTGGACTGGGGTGTCCGCCTGCGGCCTCTGCCCACAACCTCGGCCCCAGCCGCGTCTCAAAAGTGGACGAGGGCGTCAGTCGGGGGGGTGATGAGGGAGCTCCCTTGCTCGGGTCTGTGGAGACGGGCCCTCCAGTGGCCCCGGGGAGGCGGAGATGGCCCAGCCGCCCGGCCTCGCAACCGGTCAGGTTTGGGGTGCATGGAGACCCACCAGCGGTCTGGCAGCAGGGCCCGGCGGCCTCCTGTGCCCCCAGAGCCTGGCCAGCGCCCGCCCGTCGCTAGGCCCACGGGGCACAGAGACCTGGTGGACGCAGGGGCCCCCCGAGGAAAGCGGACCCGCCCCCTGAAACCGAGGCGGAGGCCCAGGGGCCCAGGGCACCACGCCCACAGGGAGGGGGGTTCCTTCGCAAAAAGGTACAGCGCCGAAGAACTTTAGAGAGGCCCTTCGCGTTTATATACTTAAAGGGGGTGACAATTTCCCTAAATTGTCCTTGCACCTGCCCTCACTTGGAGCCGCGCTCAGAGCGCGGGCCTGTCCCTGGCCTCTCCCGAGTTCGCCGAGCCCGCAGCGCCCCCGGGACGCGGCGCTCTCAGCCCTCTGCCCGCCCTGCCCCGACGCCACTTCCACCCGGGGCGTCCCCGAAGCCCCCCAGGTCTCCCCACGTGCACCGGCTCTGCCCGCCCTGGGCCCGCACGCGCCCGCGCCCATGGCTCCCCCTCTCCCGGGCACCGGGAAATGCTGGCCACGGCCTGCCCACCCCCCGCCGCCACGGGGCCACGTCCACCTCCCCCAGCCCCTAGTCCTGTCCCTCCTGGCCCCTTGCCCTGCCCCTTCCGGCGCCACCGCTGCTCTGCCACCTCCCCTCCCTCCCCGACGGGAAACAGGTTTCTTCTTGTGCCCGCTTATTGCTGGCACCCCAGAAACGAAGCTGGGCACGCCTGCAGGCCATCGGGAAGCAGCGGCCTCTACTCACGGAGGAAGCTGGGCCTTGGGAGCTGGACCGGCGACCTGCCCGCGGCCCGCATCCGGGGGCTCCGAGGGCCGAGCGCCAGCCCGCGTCGTTCCTCAGTGGACGGTCAAGTGGACAGTGAAGCTGCACCGAAGTCTCCCCAACAAAGTCAATGCCCCTGATACGCTCACAAAAGTCAGAATAAGGAATGGATAATCAGGACACGTGTTTAACTCAGAATATATTAAGATGCAACACTGTAATGATAGCTTACTGTTTAATAAAAATCAGGGGTCTCCAATGGTATAATCTGGAAGCCAAACGTGCTAGGTCACTGCTGGTGATGGATGCACTAAGGAAGGCACCGTGTGCAGAGCCCTCGGTGAAACCGGGCCTAAATAATCCATAACGAAGTGTAATTTCTGTTTTGATTCATATAAAAAATTACAAAATATTCCCTGCCCCAAATTCTTATGTTACAGAAATGAACCGAAACCCTAGAATGAGGTGATTTTACAAAGGTATGAGACTGGAACATACAGTACGGCTGCCTTAAGGATGCAAGCAGCCTCGGGCCAGTGGGCTCCAAGCCGAGGTGCTGGTGCTGGTCTGGAGGCAGCTCTCCCGGGGCGCTTGCTGGGGCCCGGCCGGGTGGGAGCCGCCCCGAGCACGGGAGCCGCAGCGCCACTCAGCAGCCTCCACCTCTCCGCTCTACTGTGGGCCGGTGGTACTGTTTCAGGTTAGGCTGGATGTCCTTCTGTGTGTCTGTCTGTTAAAGAAAGTGACAGACACTCAGCAGAGGCCGGGATGGGCGCAAGCGTGGCGCCAGGGGAACCAGTGGGACTCCCACCTTCTGGTTTGGGCCAACACACTTTAGGGGTCTCAGCACCGGGACCTTCCGGGTCGTTCCGGGGGCAAACACTGACTGCAGCGCCGGGCTTGAGTACGAGGGCTGCTTGGTCACTCCCGACAGCTTGAGCTTGGGCAGTGCCATCACGTGGGCTGGTCCGTGTCTCCTGGGATGGTCCTCCTCTTGCTTTAGAGGCTGTTTCTAGGAGTAAAGCAAAGGTCAGATGAACATACAATGCTTCCCCTTTGTGGGAATTAGGAAAAGCAAAAGGGGCTCTTTTGTACTACTTTTGCCTCATACAATTTCTTGACCGTGAGGTGTGACGGTGTGGTGACTGGACAACACGTACCACGTCCCAGCCCCCTAGAAGTGCGGTGGCCGCTCCCTGGGCCGGGGCCAGGGTGGACAGCGGGGGAGGCCGCGCTGACGCGCGTGCAGCTCCCTGGGCCAAGGCCACGGTGGCGCTTCCCGCTCGGATTCCCCGAGGCCGGCCAAAGCGGCCTGCAGCCGGCTTCTGTGTGGCCAGCGCGCTAAGAATGGATTTCACATCTTCTAATAGTTGGAGAAAATTTCACGGCATGTGATTATGAGACTCCAGTTTCAGGGTCCACAGTTTTATTGAAACCCATCCCCACCATTCGTTTTTTTGTTTTTTTTTTTTTGTTGGTTTGTTTTGTTTTTTTCGGTTCGCTGGCCTCTCACTGTTGTGGCCTCTCCCGTTGCGGAGCACAGGCTCTGGACGCTCAGGCTCAGCGGCCGTGGCTCACGGGCCCAGCTGCTCTGCGGCATGTGGGATCTTCCTGGACCGGGGCATGAACCCGTGTCCCCC